GGGGGCCCCGGGGGCTGGCGCGCGGCGGCGGGGGAGCGGTCGCCGCGCCGCTTCTTGCGACTTTTCTTTTGTTGTTTCCGCGACCCGGGTCTGTTTTCTCGGCCGTTGTGGAAGGTGTTTTCCTGCTGCACCGGCTCTGTGCCCTGCACCTCCTTCCCGGTGGTTTCACCCTTCCTCTTTCCCTGAGTGCTTTATGCACGGCGAACTGCGCGAAGATTTGCATTCCCCCCCACTCAAACCTCACACACACCCGGGGCACCCTGCCCCCACCTCCGAGAAACAAAACCCCAAACCTCACAGAACCTCCGTGTGGGTCCGCGGTAGCGAGACTTGGACGGGTTGGTCTGTGGAGTGGATGACTCCGGGCCATTGCGGTGCTTGGGGCTCCAGTGAGTGACTGTCACCCCCACCACCACCCCACTGGGTAAACGGGGTGATTAATGTCGGATATATTGGAATGGGGCGAGGGCATCTGCGGAGAAGAGGGCGTGTGTGTGGCAGGGAAGTAATGTATCTGCATAGTGTGCCTCCAGAACGAGTTCAGAATTATGTCATTCACCGCGAAGTTAGAGAAAGTTAGGTTTGTGAGTCGTGAGCGAGGGCAGGACAGAGTTGGGGTTTTGTTCTCCAGCTCCTTGCCTCGGTTTTCTAAAGCGAGCCTAAGTGGTTGTCGCCCGGGTTGGGACGTTTGCGGTTCAGGCCCCAATTTCTGTTTTTTTTTTTTTTTTAACTCCTCGACCTCCCAAGTCTGTGGAGATGTGTCCTGACATTCATAGATGTCGTAGCACATTGCAGGGATCGGTCGGCCCAGCCCCGTTTACATTAACATTTCATCAGCCATTAGAAAAGACCCACAAACTCCAGGACAAGAAAGTTCCCAGAGTCTACACTTGGCTTCCCACCCCTCCGGGTGATTACAGCCCCTTCCCCCAAAGTGATAGAGACCAAGGACAAGACAAAGTGACGCCTTTTCTGAGCAGAAAATGAGAAGTGGTCACACAGTCATCCTAAGAGACTGTAGCAGGTTGTTTCGGTTTATTAATTTGCCTTATTGGACTGAAATACTTTCCAGGATTTCAAAAAGTGCAGTTTCAGTTTGTTGATGCTGAGGATGGAAATTTGCATTCACGGTGGCAGTGTGAATTATTTTCCTGGGAGGTAGTTGCTGATAAGTTGCTAAGTAAGAGTGAAATAATAAGGTGAGCCACGCTGAAGTAATAGTTTTTAATAAGTCTGCCAACATTTTGGAGATGTCTACCATTTATCTCAGCAGGGGGAAAAACATGCTGTAATAACGTTGAAATGGGACTGGGATGTCAAATGGGTTGGTTTAAAAATACCCCTAAGCTGCCTTTGAAACTAGACGTTGGAGTTGAATAAAAGTGAATGTGGGTTTCCTGAATAGCACCGAGCTTGAGTGTGCTGTCATATGTAAGCCAGTCCACCAACTCGAGGCAGAAGTGTTGCGATTCCATAAATACAGTAGGACTCCATATGCTGAGTTTTTCAATTTCTTCTGTTCGAAAGTTTGGGGGGGAAAAGGAAGACTTTGAAGTATTTTGTTTATACTAACAGAAGAGAAAAGTTCTCCTAAGAAAAAGCTGGTGGCAGGAGTGTAGAGGAGTAGCATATGGCATTAAAGGAGCACAGCTGGAGGTAGCATTTCCATCTGAACATGATGTCAGAGCAGCTGACAGCCTGCCATCCCTCAGCCTTTTATTCTAACACACAGACAGGGAGTTAGTGTGTGCGGATCTGTGCTGGGGAAGGTATCTCATTCCTCTCCAACATCATCTCCACTTTGCATCTGTCTCTCTTAGTCTGCTTTTTTTCCACCGATGTAACAGACCTGGAGCCAGCAAGACTCCGAGGGAAGGACTTAATCAAGTTTATGTGTCCTAAAGGTAGGAGTAGCAAGAGATTAGATTGAGCATCTTTCTGTTTGGGTGTTTTATTTAATTTTTTTTTTTAAAAAATCGCATTACTTTTCTAATCCACTTTTTAAATAATATGTGAAATTGAGCATGAAGTGATGATCTTCCTGAAGCTGAAAGTCTTGGACTCGCTTGGTTTAAATTTTTATTTCTTTTCTTTGAACAAGGAAATAACTTTAATACATAGAAATATTTTAAGTTTTCAGATGGCAAGAAAGGCTTTGGACTATGGCTTTCTGAGCTCACTTTGGATTAAGATGCCTTTTGTTGTTCACTGCTGTTTAGATTCCTTTTGCTTGAGGGGGGCAGAAACAGTAAACTGTCTGGAATCCAGCTTTCAAACTTATATGAGAAGATTATTCTGGTTAAGAAGCTAGGTTGTTGTGTAATTAATTCCACTGTGAAACTTTATTCTTCAAAACATTCGGCAAGCACTGCTGAAAGCAGCATACAGCTGTAGTGCTTTTGAAACCGGAGGGTTTTTGTTGTTGGTTTTTTTGTTTTTTAAGGGAGGGGGGTGGAGAAAAAGAAAGACAACTTTTGTCCCTAAGAGAATAGTTTGACCAGTTTCCTCATTTCTCTTTCAAATATATATTTAAGAGATCTTTTATTTCAGCATAACAATAATTATTTGCAGGAGTTTCTGTGTTAGCGACTAATTTAGAACTTGTAGATTCGAGCTGCCTGAATTGGCCAGACAGCTGTAATCGCACTCCTCTATTCTTAATCTCTTTATCTGGGCAGCAGCTGCCATATGGCCACAGTCAGCTGGATCAGATGCTTGTAAGCTTCCTTCTTCGTCCCTCTCTGTCCTCTCAGCCTCCTAATTTGATCACGGCTACCTTGTGAGCTGCCCTCCAATCTTTATTTTTAGCCCTCTCCAGGATTAGGATTGATGTTAGCTGTGGGGCACTTAAAGTGATTGTTTTGTAAATCTTGGTTTATTCTATTGGTGGTGTCTTTCCGAAGGTATCCGAGGTTAGGATGAAAGTTCCACTGTCTTAGCATCGTGTGGACAAGGAGGGAAGCCAATTCTGAATATTGACTCCATCTCCACCCTCAGATGCACTTGCTGAGGTGAATGACTGGGAGCCTTCCTTCTGTTCACTGGATGGGGAAGTGGGCTCTCTTTATCCTCAGCCACTACAGTTGAATTTTGACCAGATCTTTGCCTTCCCTCATTCACCACCCTCCCTTGCCAGAAAACAAGGCAAAGATGCATAACTGAAAGAACAGAGCTACTGGGAAAGCAAAATATATCAAGTTATTATTGAAACAAAGTATTTTCTGTTGGTGAGGTAAGGCAGAGCCAGGGGTGGAAAAAGTGTTTTTTTCTAGAAAGGCTTTTAAAAAATACTAAATATTGAACCTATGAAGTTTTTGTACCTCATTTTATAGTGGGAAAAGTTTAATTTTAATATGGAGTTTGTTTTGCCGTGTAGAAGATCAAAATTTCGATGAGAATTTTCAAAGTTAACAGCCTCTCTAGTTGCTAATAATATTGTTCTACAAAGAAACAGCCCCCCCCATTCATTTTAAAAATGTTTGGATTTGTTCATAGTAAAGATGATCTTTCCCATCTGTCGGTGCAGTTCCGACTGATCTCCTGCGTGTGCAGTACCTGCAAATCTTACGGCACCAACATCTGTTCTTATACACAGGGCTTTTGTTGTTGTAACACTCTGACTTTAAAAGTAAGTTGTTTGCTGATTTCTGGACTAATTATGCAATTTCATTTTTCCCCCTCAATTCAGCCAAATGTGTATGTGTGTTCAGTCTATGCTTTCTAAGTCGTCAGGTATGAAAAGTGATAAAATACAAAGAATGATTGGGCAAGTTTTCCTGACTCTTACAGAATTTGTGTGGAACTTTGCTTTGTTAGTATCCGTTCTTTTCCTGTGAAGGCAAAACTGTCTTGTAGGTTTTGTGGGATGTCATTTATGAGTAGTTGGTTAAATTTCTTTTGGAAGTGGTCTGAATTCTTGTTCTCAGTAGTAGGCTATAGCTAAAGGAAGTCTTTAAACTTGACCAGGAGTTCTGAGAAGGACGAGGGAGTCCTTGGCAAGTACATTTAGGTCGCCTGTGTGACTTGGGAGTCCTTTGGGGTGTGAGCCTGATTTAAAATTCATAGACGTGAAACTCTCCACTACTAAGGTGGATTTTTTTAGAGTGGGGTCTAGAGGCTAAACTCCTAAGCAGGCTCTAACGAGAACCTCCTTTTTCCCCAGGTTATGAAGACAGTATGGAGTTTCCAGACCACAGCAGACATTTGCTGCAGTGTCTGAGCGAGCAGAGACATCAGGGCTTTCTTTGTGACTGCACCGTTCTGGTGGGAGATGCCCAGTTCCGGGCGCACCGAGCTGTACTGGCTTCATGCAGCATGTATTTCCACCTCTTTTACAAGGACCAGCTGGACAAAAGAGACATTGTTCATCTGAACAGCGACATTGTGACAGCCCCCGCTTTCGCTCTCCTGCTTGAATTCATGTATGAAGGGAAACTCCAGTTCAAAGACTTGCCCATTGAGGACGTGCTAGCAGCTGCCAGTTATCTCCACATGTATGACATTGTCAAAGTCTGCAAAAAGAAGCTGAAAGAGAAAGCCACCACAGAGGCAGACAGCACCAAAAAAGAAGAAGACGCTTCAAGTTGTTCAGACAAAGTCGAGAGCCTCTCAGACGGCAGCAGCCACATGGCAGGTGACCTGCCCAGTGATGAAGATGAAGGTGAAGATGAGAAATTGAACATTCTACCCAGCAAAAGGGACTTGGCAGCTGAGCCTGGGAACATGTGGATGCGATTGCCCTCAGACTCAGCAGGCATCCCCCAGGCTGGCGGAGAGGCCGAGCCACACGCCACAGCAGCTGGAAAAACAGTAGCCAGCCCCTGCAGCTCAACAGAGTCTTTGTCCCAGAGGTCTGTCACCTCCGTGAGGGATTCGGCAGATGTTGACTGTGTGCTGGACCTGTCTGTCAAGTCCAGCCTTTCAGGAGTTGAAAATCTGAACAGCTCTTATTTCTCTTCACAGGACGTGCTGAGAAGCAACCTGGTGCAGGTGAAGGTGGAGAAAGAGGCGTCCTGTGATGACAGTGATGTTGGCACTAATGACTATGACATGGAACATAGCACTGTGAAAGAGAGTGTGAGCACTAACAGGGTACAGTATGAGCCAGCCCACCTGGCTCCGCTGAGGGAGGATTCGGTCTTGAGGGAGCTGGATCGGGAGGACAAAGCCAGCGACGATGAGATGATGACCCCAGAGAGCGAGCGGGTCCAGGTGGAAGGGGGCATGGAGAGCAGTCTGCTTCCCTATGTCTCCAATATCCTGAGCCCCGCGGGCCAGATCTTCATGTGCCCCCTGTGCAACAAAGTCTTCCCCAGCCCCCACATCCTGCAGATCCACCTGAGCACGCACTTCCGCGAGCAGGATGGCATCCGCAGCAAGCCTGCCGCCGATGTCAATGTGCCCACGTGCTCCCTGTGTGGGAAGACTTTCTCCTGCATGTACACCCTCAAGCGCCATGAGAGGACTCACTCGGGGGAGAAGCCCTACACGTGCACCCAGTGCGGCAAGAGTTTCCAGTACTCGCACAACCTGAGCCGCCACGCCGTGGTGCACACCCGCGAGAAGCCCCACGCCTGCAAGTGGTGTGAGCGCAGGTTCACGCAGTCGGGAGACCTGTACAGACACATCCGCAAGTTCCACTGTGAGTTGGTGAACTCCTTGTCGGTCAAAAGTGAACCACTGAGCTTGCCCACTGTCAGAGACTGGACCTTAGAAGATAGCTCTCAAGAACTTTGGAAATAATTTTATATATATATATAAATAATATATATATATACATATATATACATAGATCTCTATATAGTTGTGGTACGGTCTAAAAGCAGTCTTGTTTCCTGGAACTGAAAAGTTGGGATCTTAACTTGTTTTTGCACTTTAGAATAATAGCATGAGAATCTCACTAATTTAGCATTCTGATAAAAGAAACTTTAGAGCAAGTCGGAAGTAGAGAGGTGTCTTTTCTTTGAGGGGTGGGCCAAGTCAGCCAATAAATCCTCCTCAACAAATGGTTCTGTCTCAAAATGCTTTCATATGGCTTAATTTTGTAAACACTGCATTGTCTTGAGCGCTTTTCTTGTGCCCTACATTGTTTTGTTTTGTTTTCAAAGTAGAAATTCCCTCCAGTTTTATTAGCCTCTTTATATGTCTCAAATTGCATGAATATTTTCTGGCTGTTGGAAACCTGAATGCTTTTAGACCCAAATGGAAAATTTCTGAAATGCTGGATTATCTATTTTTAAACAAGCAGTTGACTTAAAACTTTCTGTGGCAACTTCTGGTTTTCTGACAGTTCCCAGTGAGAGATTCTGACAGTACACTGGGTCGCTGGGACTGTCTCTGTGAAGGTTTGCTTGAGACGAAAAAGGATATTGCAGCTTCAGCAGTGTTGAACTGTGTGTTTAAAATGTGAATTACTGTTCTTGTATACTGTAATTGATTACACGGGCTGGGGGGGTGTCAGAGAACTTGACAGGTTGTGTTGATGCTCTTAGTTGAGTCTTGAAAAGTAAATATTAACGCTACAGAAATGCATGAGTTTCAATATATTTTTTGTCTTTGTTTGCATTGTATAACTTCAACGAGTGAGTTTAAAATTATTTAATTTCCTTAGAAAAATAGCACCATTTTGGGAAAAAACTGGTGTTACGAAGAACGTAAATGCACTGTTTTTATTTTTATTTTATATAATTTAAATTGACTTTTCCCACTGTCTTTAAGTTGAAACTGTTAAGCTGAATAAAAACTTAAGCTGCAAATTGATAACTTCGCTACATTACAAGGAACATATAAATGTTTACAAACGGCTTAAAGATTTGCATGTGCAGTGTGCATTTATAACACACTTGGAATTGCACAGAACCCATGCCAGCTCAGAGTTTAGGTGTGCACATGTACCCAGCTGAGCGTTTTTAGAATAACTACTGCACAAATTGACAATAGGTCATAGGTCATTCTCTCTCTCTCCTCTCTTGGCTTCCCTTTTCTTTTTTTCCCCTATTTCCTTTCCTTCCCCCTACCCCCTTACTCATGAAAAGATTCTATGGACTGAAAAAGCCCCAGGCTGAAAGGACTGAACTGCCTTGATTGACGTGGGGAAGGGGGTCAGTAGAGTATGTGTATTGGCAGCAGAGGCTGCAGCCCACCGTGTGGTTTTACTGACCAGCACGCAGGGGAGAAGCATTTTGCACAGTGTTTGTTTTCCTGTCTTGCACTTACAAATAAGGTCTATGGGAGTAGCATGGAAAATGTTGTTTTTCCCTTTTTCTTTTTTAATTGCTTTTGTTTAAAATTTGATCGCCTTAACTACTGTAAACATAGCCTATTTTTGTGCTTAAGATACTGAATGGAAAACTCCATTGTGTGTTGCTGGACTGTTTTGGAAATATTTGGTCAAATGTATGTTAATTTGGCTGTAATGGCATTTAAAGCAAACAAACAAACAAAAAAAGCTGTGAAAATGGCCTTGGAGCATTATATTTAGTTACTTGAAGAGTTTCTAGGTTTTTTTTTTAATACAGTTTATGTTAAAATAATCTTTATTAATTTAGAGAAGACAATCAGTGTCTGTGAGAGAACGGACTTTTTTGGAATTTTTTTGTGGTCATTGTGAGTGATTGCTTTTTCTTTTTCTTAGTTTCATATTCTTCCTTTGTTCTAAATCTTAGGCTGACATCTAGCTTTGACAATCATAGTTGTTTTATTTCCTGAGGGGGAATAACTTATAATGCTGTTTAGTTTTGTACTATTGGTGTGTTGGTGAATTTTTAAACTGTGTGCTAACTGCAATAAATTATATGAACTGAGAATTCTCTGTGTGGTTTTTGTATTATGATCGCATAACAGATTTTGAAGCCTTTATAATGCATGGCATCTTCATCTTAACATCAGTTTTATTCAGGTTAGGAAGTTACTAGAATGCTTCAGGGTCGGTCCCCCAAACTGAAATGTGCATGGGCTCACCACTTAAGGAGACACCAAGTACACATTTCTACAGTGTAGAAAGACTGTAGAAAACCGTGAATACAAAGAACTTCAAGTGGCAAGGTAGGTTTTTCATAATAAGTAACACAGCTATTAACCCATATACAATGCAAGTCACTTTCCATGCATGGTTTTATCCTAAGTTGATTGGTCAAATCCATTCTCCCATGTTCTGGCTTAAGTGGAAAATTGAAGGAGACCGGATGTCTCAATTTGGAACACTGCTTGGCTAATGAGTGGAAGTCTAGGCAATTGAATTAGGAGGCATTCGGTGGTTCAAGATTAGCTGCGTATGTCCGTTTTTCTTACCAGAACTCAAAAGATCTTAGTGTTTAAGTTCTAATTTTAAAACATTTAAGCAATGCATCATTAGAAAGAACTATTCCCTCCTCTTTGTCATTCCCGTACCCCAATTTGCCTGTCTTGTTGGGTAAGGGCTGCTTAGCCTGCAAAATTGACAGAACACATGTATATGGGATTTTGGGAGATTGTCACACTGGCTGTAGATTGCAGTGGGGCCCAGGTCCTGAAGTTGTATAAATATCAAATCTTAAACTGCCCATAACTCCCAATCTTAAAGACAAATATGGAAATTACATAACTACTGTCTGAGATATAATTACACCAAAAAGCTTATGTTTTTTAAAAAGGTTAATATGAGGAATCCAGAGTGTGAAACGTGCCCTTTAGAAGGTCTTTGATGGCTTTGGCTGTACGTCCACAAAGATTTTTATAAAATACGAGCCATAATTTGCAGTTTGAAGTGATAACATTCAATTTTTAATTGAAAAAATGTAACAACTCACAGTTGGTTTTAAACAAACATCTCACAGGAAGGGGACATTTTCATCTGGCCTCTACACAATCCCTTGAGCAGTTAGTAAGTGAGGAGAGATACCTTTCATTCTCTTGTACATGCAAAGCTTCCCGAAGATGCTGGGGGTTGGCATATCTTTCAGTTCCATTGACTGTCTTAAGTGAGAACTGCCTTAGTATATCCTTCACGGGATGCGTTCCTCAACACAGCGTTCTGATTGTGATTTGGAAAGAACTTCTTAAAATACCGCAGAGCGGGCACAGAGTGCTATTACACAAATGGTCACATTTGGCATGTGACATGAAAGCATCTCGTGTTTATTCACCACAATGAAGAAAGACAGTTGTCATGTAATCCAGTTGGAAACCTGTAAAATCAGGCTCTCCTTTGACATCTGGCTGTTCCCTAAATGCATGGTAAAAATATGGTTTCACTTACTTTGGAAAACATCTGTTTCTTTCAGATAATCAATTATGCCCTGGATTGCTGCGGGCCCAGCATTGTGTGCTAGGTGTACCCTGGGGGACAGTCGACAAGTAGAAGATGCTAAGGATGCCGGTTGGGGACTTCCTTCCTAGTTAATTATGCTATTGGATTAATAGGTGAATCAATAGAGCTTACCCTTAACAGACTTTACATGGGTCTCTAAAAACAGCTTTTTGGGAGGTTAGAAAAAGGTGAATATTTGAACTCAAATTAATAATTAGTATTAAAAATGCTTGTTTTTCCAAGTAAATTTTAGTTTTGAAATACTATAAAAGAAATAGCTGGGATTTTTTTAACCTAATAAGCAAGTCTACTTTAAAAGTCTTGAACTTCCTAGTCTTACAGATAAAACACATATAAAATACATTCTAAAAAAAGCTTGGGAAACCCAAAAATCCGATATAAATTTTCTAAATGTCTTAAGATCTCAAAATTTTCTGCACTGTTTGACTATTTCATTCCTAAAAAGTTTAGAAATTTGAGTTCTAACCTAACAATGGAAATCACACATACCTCTAGAAAATTTTTAATTGTAGATAATAATATAAATTTTGATTATTATTGCAATGTTTGCGGTTGCTGATAAGGTTAGTGAATGAAGTATGAGTTTTGAAGTAAGGGACAAAAAAGGCTGTGTCATTTTCATTAAAGCCCGCTGCCATTAAAAACTGGAGATAATGTCGTCTTAAGAATAAAACAGTGGTTTTATTTTTTAAAAGCAAATGGCTTTTAGGAATTTTATTTTGGCTAGAGTCCAACTTTATTACACTGACAGGATTTTGTCCCTTATGTTAGAATTTTTTTTCTACCTTTTGCCTGCGGAATCCTGGCAAAATCTATGTGATCCCTTAGTCTAGACATGCAGTCACTTATTGGACGTATTCAGTTTAGCTCAGAGATGTTTTCTGTCTCTAGCCGTCCCCACCTTGTTCATCAGCCTTATCGAATGACATCTTAGATACAACATTGAGAGCTTTCAGAAATTCATTTTAAGAGAAACTTCAGAAATTAAGCTTTTGGCATTTTTGCAAACCAATACCTTTAAAATAAAAATCCTCACCTATTGACTTCTGTGATTTCTTGTGGAAGAAACTGAACTCCAAATTTGTGTGCTGCTATAAACAGGAAGGTTGGCTATGTAGAAATAGATCAACAAATAGCAATAGTTTGAACAGTTTTCTTTAAAAATCCAAATTCTTTATCATGTCTCTGCTTATGCTAAATAAGTTGTAATTCTCCACGTAATTCAGACATATAGAATAGTTTTCTTAAGACATTCAAACCCTTGAAAATGATCAGGTTTGTTGTTGTTTGTTTGTCTGATTGGTTGGTTTTGAACCTGGAAGAGGGACTGGGGGAGAGGGACGGAGTATCCAGTTACCTTTCCTAATTCTATTCTGATATTTATAATCTCATTTCAGTTTCTAGCCTTATGTGGGATGATAGCCTTAACAATATCTTTTAAAACCAAAGATTGTCTTGAATTTGTGGTCACTTATTCCCCACAACACGCTATGTCCTTCTCTAAGCTTTAGGCATGAATTTACTAAATTTTCGGAATGGAGACGGCAAAACAAAACAAAAACAGAAACCATTTGGCTTTAAAATGTAGCACATTCAGGCAGGAATAGTTTAAATAAGTGTGTGCAGGGTGGCTTTGAAAGTCTCTGGTCACTCAGAAAATCCGTTCACTGAAAGCACCCGCATGCAGTTTGCTATGATCTTTGTAGTTAATCATTAAATCAGGTGGCCTTTATTAAGTGTCAGTGTGCATGCTTTAAAAGTCATTGTCCCAGATATTCAAGTTTGTCCAAAGTGTACTTGTTGTACATGACATGGAGCATGGAAGAATGTATTTTAATATTGGTAAACGTGTATGAGCAGATTAAATCTGTTTTAATATAGAAAATGTGTAGATGCCATTGAACTTGAAGGAGTAGCATGGCTTTATTTATGTGTCATACCAGACCAGAGCTAACTTTTGACATGTGACAGAATTTGCAAGATATGCACCAATCATGCATGTATGAATACATTTACTCAAACCTATAGAAAGGATATATACATTTCATTGAAATGCATGTCACCTTAAAATCTGAGATTATTAATGACTCAAACATTTTTTGTTTCTGATGATCTGAGATGAGCTTTGATCAGAGTAAAAACATTTAAACTTTTCTTTCAAATCTCTTTAAAATTTTTTAAGAGATTGAAAATATACATGTGCTTTTTTAAAAAAACCATAGCACATATGTGGCTTGGTAATACTGAAATATTTGCATGTTTACTAGACAGCAATGCCTTTTAAGCAGGTCGCTGTAGACCATTTTGGAAAAAGCACAATAGTACAATAATTAAGATACTGAAGGAATTTAAAATCTATGGCCGGTGAGCTGAAGCTGAAGCAGTCATAGAAATTACTGATATCTATGTGGATTTAGTTGTTTTTTTTTTTTTAAAAAAAAGCCACTTTCTAATTTACAGCAATTTCTCTGTCACTTAAAATTCTTTTCAAATAGAAGAAATTGGAGAAAAAAGAGAGAGAAAAACAAACCATATCTCAAGAAAGTCAGATTTATAAAGTTATTTCTACCTGGCTTTGACAAAGAAGGTTCTAGATTCAAGTATGGCAGGAGAGAGAAACAACATGGGTTTATAGCCAATGTACAGTCATAGGACAAGAGTCTCTCATGTAAAATTTAAGATCTCTTCCAAATCCCCAGGATTTTGCAAGTGAATAATCTAAGAGAAATTGATGTCTGCTGGGTGGGTGCTTCCTCGGGTCTGGCTGTTGCTGAAACACAAGCTGAAATTCTTACCTCGTGTTCTGCTTTTTAGTGTTTCCGTGTCCTTTTCTTTACTACAAGAGGATCAAGTTTATTCACTGAGTGATTTTGACACCATGATACAACTGAATTTTCCAGCCAAGTTGTTTTCATGTCTTTCTACCATTTTGTGAAAAAAAAAAAAGAAAGAAAGAAATTTGAAATGAAAACTCCAATTTAAATTGGCCTATTTACCACCCTGGGTACCAGTTAGCTATGTGTTAATACACCCAGGCAGGGGGCCTGAGCCTGAAGATAAGGGAGCTGAGGCATTTCTGGGGTTCCTTACAAGAAATGACATCAAACTGGATGAAAACCCTCTGCAAAAGGCAGAGAAATTAGAGGATACGTTGGGGCACAAAGAACTTTTGCTTTTCATAGTACGTGTGAAGTCTAGAAAAATGTGGTGGTTTCTCACGTTCTATTTATGTGTTATTTTCCTTGAGGGACGCCTTGAAGAGGTGCTAGAGCCACTTCTGCGCAGAGGGGAGGGAGGGGAAGCTCGTCTTCCTTTGTTCAGTTTGTTATGCAAAGGTGCTTATCTTGCAGTAAAAATAGTGCTGTAGTGAAGATGTGGCAGGCGTTCTGTAGGCTTGACCAGTGTGGCAGGGTTTTAAATGATTGATGTGTTGCTTAAAAGTCAGTCAAATAAGACCATCAGAGAATGAAGCCATCAATCCTCATGTTCTTTTTATTTATTAGTACATATATTTTTAATCTCTCCAAAAATAACAATTAAGCTTTATAAGCAAGAAACAAATCAAAACTTAAATCTGCCCTCTAGGCTGAATATTTTCATTCTGGATTGATTGTCTTTAAAATAATAAATGAGTTTTGTTGCTCAAATTTAAAAAAAAAAAAAACCTAAGGATTGAGTGGCTCGGATCTCCATGCTGTCAAGGTCTGTGGTGTTTGTCTGATAGTCTCTCCTCACAGGTTGCTGCCATGTGTAGGGACTAACCTAGAATCATCAACACTTGAAGCTGGCAGGGACAGAAGTGACTTCCAAGTCATTCACTCAGATGAGAAACAGGCCCAGGCAAGGCGAAGGAGAGAGAAGCAGATTTGGGTCTTTGCAAAATACCTCACACATTCCCAAACCTTAGGTGGGTAGCATGTTAAAGATGGATGTCTGCTCTCTTTAGAGGCACGAGATGGTCAAATCCCTTGCTTTAGGTTTGTCTCAGATCAAGGCTGCATCTGAGCCTCCATCCTGGCTAGATCACCTCTGTGATCAAACGCTCACCGTAAGGCCCTCACAGTTACCGTACCCCTGGTCTGCTAGAAACACTTACTGTCGGAATCTAGATGGGAATGCTGTCTTTTCCTCCACCTTGGGTACCCTGCTGGGGTCTGAACGGAAACCTGACAGCATCCTCCAGACTCACACGTTCCCGACATGTTCCCGGCTAGGAAAGAGTTGCTTGAGTCCCCCCACCCTCCCCCCCCCACAAAAAAACCCATATTATTTGTTCAGTCACAAAGAGGCAGTGCTCAGTGCAGGCGGATCCAGGCGGGGACTGGCCAGAGTGTTCCTGGGCACGGGGAGGCGTGGGAGAAGCGTGGTCAGGTGCTGAGGTGTCAGCCTTCGAGAGCTTCAAAACTCCTCTGCTGCCCAAGTGGGAGCTCTGTGTTTCCCCTTACTGGACCCATCTTCTCAGACTGTCTCTCACCCCTCTCATCATCGTCTACTGGAAAGAGGCTTTGAAGGAAAATCAGAAAGACATAGTGATGCCACAGGAGGGGCCCCACTCGGCCACATTCGTTTCTTCATTTCTAAGAGCAGAGTGGCAATACCCTATCACCTCTTCCCTGGCACCGTGTAAGCAGGAATGTGCAGGTCACCGAACTCTGAGGGAAGATGCTAGGTCAGTTTTAGGGAACAATACTACTATAAAAATAAGTTGTTTTTACGAAAGATTTTTTTCTATCACAAAGCCTTCCTAGCAATGTGGGTATTTTTTTTTAAATGTAGATCTTTCTTTTCTTTTCTTTTCTTTTCTTTTCTTTTCTTTTCTTTTCTTTTCTTTTCTTTCCTTTCCTTTCCTTTTTCTTTTCTTTTCTTTTCTTTTCTCTTCTTTTCTTCTTTCAATTTATTTCCAGGCAGGATTACTCTGGAACCCGGCTGTCCTGGAACTTGCTTTGTAGACCAGGCTGGCCAGAAACCCACAGAGATCCGCTTGCCTCTGCCTCCCAAGTGCTGGGGTTAAAGGTGTGAACCACCATCCAACTCTAAATTTTTTTAAAAAAAAATTTAAATTCATCAAGGACTAATAATCTCAACTTTATTTATGTTTTCCAGCATGCCCTCACGGAAAGCAATTTCTACAGGCTGTGTGAAAGGAAGGGTCATACTCGTGAAAAGCTTACACACTCTCAGGTAGGCCTGTGGGTGCGAATGCATGTGCAATCCTTCTCTCGTTGATGCCACACTTTTGGTTCCTCCTGACAAGTTTCTCTGTGCCCGTTCTGATGAATCCAGGCTGCCCCATCCACATCACTTCGTTTTGGGGATAAAGGGAGGATGAAGGCACAGCATCGTCGACTTCTCAGAGAAAATCTGCTGTGTCAAGCCTGCACTGGATACGGACTTCCCCACATTCCTAATGATGAAGAAATCAAGATCAAAAAGCTATGACTGATGTTCACTGGAGTATCGTTAAGTATAAAAACTGGAATGACGGATCTACAGAATGACAAAAGACAAGCGCACAACTCCCTGTAACCAGCGGAAGGTGGCACATGCCGGGTCAGAGCCCAAGCATCTCCGTGTCAGTCAGGTCTCGTGTCACTGATGTGCCCCATGTATTGTTACAGCCACACCATGGTGCCGTGCAAACGGGTGTGCGTCCATCCACCGGGAGGACGGTGCATCTGGGTAAAGTCCACAGAACAGCAGAGTACCACTGCGTGTTGTGTTTATCCAGACACGTTAAATACTAAGATATGCTCCAACGTGTGTGTGTGTGCGCGCGCGCGCGTGTGCGCGTGTGTGAATGTGTAGCAGGGCCAAGTACCGGATGGCTGCAGAGTCCCTATTCAGCCTGCCCACATCCCTCTTTGATGCCGTGCCATTCCACAAAAGCAGTCAGGCCACAGTCATCTTTTTCTTTCTTTCTTTCCCCCCTTGTTATCATGGCACAATTTTCCTTTTTAATCTTATAATTTTCATCAGTTTTTGTAAAAGGCAATGAACATAACAATACGTGTTTGGTAAAAACGGTTATTTGTTGCTATATTTAATCAGAAATTAGAAAGAATTTAAAAAGAAAAAAAAAAACAGCAACCAAAAACAAACAAGCACACACACACACACTCACACACACATCCCGGGGCGGGGGGGAACACACACACACACACACACACACACACACACACAAACCTTCCCTCTGCTTGATGCCATAGACAAGAGTCCAAAGGACATTAGCTGCTCCGTTGCACACATTGGAGAGAGAGTTCGCTGAGGGCTCTGTCTCTCTAATAGACTGGTGATTTGGTAAAAGGTTTTAGAGGGTTTTGTTTAACCATTTCTGCATGTGTTTTTAATGAGCTCATGATGCTTCGTAACAAAGGCCAGGTTGTGAGGTTTGCAGCCTTTTTTCGGACCTGATCCCTTCCCGCTGACCTGCAGAGTGAGCACCTGTGCTCCTTGCCTGGCTCACCTATGGGAGTCAAGGTGGTGGGGCCATCTCCGGGCCTGTCTTCATGCCAGGGATGAATCATGCGGTAGGCAGGGCGGAAGGAGTCTCTTTGTTGACAGCTCTCCATCTGGACTTTGGATACGGCCGGCCGTTCATGGGGAGCCTGGGTGAGCTGGAAAGGACTGCTCGAATCTGCCCCTCCATGAAGGCCCGGGGCAGTAAAACACCTGCAAAGGGACTGCCTGGCATTTCAGTTGCAAAAGCTGAGGAGCGTACCCCCTCCCCCGCCCCAATTCCAGGTACCCAGGCTTGCGAATGTGTACGGCTCCTGCTCGGACAAGTGGGTATTTAATAGGCAATAGGATCATTTACAGCCTCCTCCAGATAATCCGACTGGAGTACACCTGAATAAATACATCAATCTCAGGTGGCTGAGCACTAACCCCTTGGAGTTTAATAATTAAAATAAACAGAACTATTGCGAGGAGTTCCAGTTTTGTCATGTGTAAATGTAAGCTATCCCACACAGGATGGCATTTCGTGATTCATACAGGAATATGATGGATAGATGATACATTTTCCATAGCTTTTTAAGAAAAAAAAAGAGAGATTATCTTAGTCATGGGGTAAAGTTATATGATACATTGTACCATTCAGTCTGATTCTGGGCCAGTGCAAATTTTTTTTCTGTCTTTTTTTTCTTCTTTTTTTTCTTTCTTCTTTTTTTTGTGAAAGATTACTTCTTGGCAAACTAGATATGCAAACGCCAGAATACAGTAAAACCACATTTAATTGGACCTACTTGCCAACTTCTTGAACACAGCTTGGATTATCCCACTGGAGGCTGCTTCTGTTAAAAACTGGGGGAGGAGGAAGTGGCACACTGACAAGGCCTCAGATAATTTTTTTTTCACTCGAAGTACAATTATGCAATGAGCCAAGTTTGGAAGTATTTTACTATGTTTAATAATTATTATTAAAGATATTGTAAAACATATGCATTTGTTAAGTGGAGTGTAATGGGAGTAAAACTCATGTCATAAATTCCACTTTGGATTTATTTTTCTATTTTGTGTTTTATTTGACAGCCTTCCAACTTGAGTCTAGCCCAAAGCCTGCACTCTAATACATATCATACTTGATATTAAAGTGAGAAGAGGGTGATTTATAGGAGCTGCGTGAGAAGCGTGTTCTCCTCAGGGCCAGCCTATGTGGAGTTGACACCTCTGTTCAGGTAATGACTTGAAAACCAGTCGCAGGGAGAATGACCGGGACGGAGAGAGCCTCGTCACGCGCATCCAACAGCAGCTCTGAACCCGCATGTCCTGCGCATGCCTACTGTTCAAAAGGAGATGGAGCCGAGGGCAGGGTGCCTATCTCTTCGTGTGCCTGTGACTCTTGGAGGAGCCATGGTGTGATGCCACTACGAGCGGCGGTGCCAATCCCAATCCCTTACCTGGGAAGCTCGCATTGGTCTGTTGTACTTCTTGATTTTAAAGCAAATTTGTATTATCTGCACAGTGTCTTTTTCAAAAAAAAAAAAAAAGGAGAAAATGCCCCCTGAAATCCCACTTCTTGACATTGTACAGAGGTGCCATCTCTAATGATTAGCAAGACACTCTGGGTTGTTTGTGCCCGAACTCCACCTGCGCTGTGAAATCCCCATGATTTTTCTCACATTCCCACTCAAGCTGCCGAGCAACTGGGCCCTCTCTTCTACGTGTGGCTGTGTCAGTGTGACTTCTGTGCGCCATGCTACTTGGTTGTTTCCTCGTGCCCCTCCATAACCAATGACGGGGTGTGGGAGGAAGTTGGCAGGGCACAGGAGGACAGGGTCCCTGCATTCATCCCCCTACCATTCAGCGGGCTGCTTTCTTTCCCAGTGGGGTGACCACCTCTGCTCTGTTTTCTTAGGTATCCTTTAAACGTATCCCTAGGGCTCCTGGAAACCTGCAACTCTGCCGTCGCGTGGCGAGACTGCGGCAATCTGAGGCTTGCGTGTGCGAAGAGGATGTGAGGACTTCTGGACCGCATCCCTGAAAGCAGAGCTCCTTTACAACCCCGCAGCTCTGGCCCCCAAGTGCCCTGCAACTTCCTCTGGAGGGGCGCCCTTGATTTCTAAAGCATCCACAGCCTTGCCTCAGGCAGGACTGACCAGAAGCTGAAAAGAGAAGGCTTGGAAGCTTGCTGGAAAGGTCTTGCTTCTAAAAACCAGAAACCGGGAGGGAGAAAGTTGACGAGAAATCTGCCCTCTTGTCCTTTGCCGACTAAACCGTGTTGTCTTGTACTCGTGACTTTATCGTTTCATCTTTAAAATAAACCTTTTGAGCCAGATATGCCTCTGAGGTTCTTTCCAGCTCCATGTTCTTGGGCATCTTTTACCTATTTATCTGAAATGCTGATTGAACTTGAACAGGGAAATATTTTCCAATTAGAGTAGAGATGGTGGCTAACATACTGTTAGGCTTCTGAGGCTCGTGTGATCAAAGGCGTGCTTGCTCCGATAAGGGCGGGCAGGGGGAGGGCTGGGGAGGGTTTCTCCTGGCTGCTGGGGTTTTAATATCTAACTGCACTCACGTTTACACATGTCAGCCATGTGCTAAGCATATGCTTTCTGGTCTGTGGTCAAGCCCAGTGGGTTTAGGGTTAATTTTTATTTTTTAACAGGCAAACCCCTAGAGATGCTAAATAAATACACAGCAAGAACTTATTTTGTGGTTTGTTTTATCTTGTTGACACTAAGTATCCAACGCTTAAGAAAGTGGATGAAGACAGAATCGGCCATGTTGTACATTTCGTTATCGGTTATTTTAAGGATCACAGAACACACAGGGAGTTCGCCTAGCTAAGCAGTTCTCCCTGTTCGTTCTGCAAAAGGATTTTCTGTCTCAGTTTCTCTGCAGAGCTTTCTTTGGACAGCTCTCCGCCACCTTGCACCACAGGACCTCGCCTATGAAAAGGCTAATTCTGATCCTTAAGCAGCCGTCAAAGGAAAGCATGCAAAAGACCACTGCCCCTCCGATATGGGTTGTGGGACTTCAACAAGTGCCAAAGGGACGCCTGTAGATCTAGAGGTCAGAGGCCACATTAAATCAGAGAGATTATAAAAAAGAGAACATACTGTTCTCGCAGATAAGCTTTAAAATTAGAGAAAAGCAGATTCTCATTCTCTCTCTCTCTCTCTCTCTCTCTGTGTGTGTGTGTGTGTGTGTGTGTGTGTGTTACGTATGTTCATGCAGGCCATATATCGACCTGGGTGTTATTTCTCAGGGGCCATCCACCTTGCTTTTGTTTCTTTTGTTCTGGGAGACAGGCTGTCCTGGAACTCACTACTAGTGCATGCTGGCTGGCCTCAAATGTATAGGGATCCACCTGCCTCAATCTTCTAAATGCTAGGATTACAGGTCTGAGTCACCAAGATCAGCTCTGTTGGGGGGTGTGGGGGTCTCTTACTAGGAGCTGGGCTTGCCTCAGGGATCTGCCTGCCTGTCTCTACTTTCCCGGGGCTGGAAGGGCTTGTTATCATGCTGGATTTTTTTTTTTTTAATGTGGATTCTGGGATTAAACTCGGGTCCTCGTGCTTCTTCAGCGCGCACTTTATTCACCGAGCTATCTCTCCAACCAGATCTAAGAAGACTAAATTTTTAGTGAAGAATCTCACGATACACCCATATTTCTAGTGTTATTAATCCACTCCATGTGGAAGAAAATTCTCCCAGAGTTTTCTGTGTAGAAACCATCCAGGAGAATGAGTGCAGATTAATTTGTGTGGGAGTCTAATTAAAATATTTTCATTTTTCTCTTTTTCATTCTGAAGTCATCAAGTAAAATGATTGAGAAATTCAAGCTTGACGCAGAAGCAAGATTGAAGCAGGGATGTGTTCTCCTAGTAGTTAAAACTCTTGAGATGGCAAAGGAGAGAAATCCAACTTAAGGTAGTTGAAGCCAAAAAGGAATTTTTGTCAGAAGGCTACGTGGATTCGGTGGGATCCAAAAGTGGAATATGGTTGGGCCTGGGGAGCAGCTAGACCGCGCAGCTCAGTGGCTGTCTGGATTCGCTCTCCTTCTCTTGCCTTTGCTTCTCTTTCTGCTGATTGGCATTTTCTATTCCTCAGTCCACATGGTGGAACAGGGCTGCCAACTGCTTCTGCATTTACATGTCTTCATTTTCAGACACTCAGGGGGAGACTGACTTCTTTTTGTCAGTTGCAGTTCCCAAATCTTGGGGCAGGGCTCTGATTGGTCAGCTCGGATCAGGTGCCCACCTCTCCACCAATGGCCAGGGCCAAGAGTGCATCCTATTGTGCCAACAGGCAGACTCCTGTGGTGCCATATGCATGTTGAGGGGCCTGCATGTTCAGGGGGCCGGGGGCAGAGGAATAGTTCCCAGGAGCCAGGGACACAGTTCCCAGAAATGAGGCCGATCTAGTCTGACAAAACAATAGGGGCCCATCATGTTTCTGGACGGAATTTAAAGGGAAACTATGAAAAGATATTTATTTGGAAGTGAGAATAATATGTTCTCCCTTGTGGTGTAACAGCAGTTAATTTCTAACCCGCGGTCAAGCGCTAAGTGAAATAATGTATGTTTGATAAAGCACTGTGAAAAAATTAATTTTCGTGTCAACTCCTTCCCTTATCATTTCACAGTTTTGGAGCATTTCCACGTGCATGCTTGCGACGTCCTTACCTGGCTCATTCTGCAGAGTCCATGGAACCCAACCGCAGGTATTATCTCCTTTACAGACCACTGTCCAATGTGCCTTATGAACCCAGCGATGCGTAGTCAGACTGTCAGAGCCGAGCAGAGAGAGGCACATCCTCTCTACTTGTCTGGGGCCCAGAAGGGAGGTTCTGTGTCCACAAAGTTCTGCCCTGGCACAGGTGAGAAAGGTGTGTTCTTCACCTAGGGATGTGGGAACCCAGGGAGGGGCTAGGAGGACTGAGGTTGAGCTAGTGCCAGCGAAATCCTTGCCGTCTGTGAGCACAGCACACTGATCACAGTCAGGGTGTTAGCTACTGAGCTCCTGGAAAGAAAGACCAAGCCCCGAGGAGACCCACTGTCCAGCGACCAGGGAAAGAGCCACACCAATTGGAAGACAGACACAGGTGTACCAGTCCCTAGATGCTCTTGGTCCTGTCTTAGGGTTTCTGTTGCTGTTCAGAGACACCGTGACCACACCAACTCTTATAAAGGAAAGCATTTAATTTGGTCTGGCTTATAGCTCAAGAGATTCTAATCTATTGTCATCATGGAGGGAAGAATGATAGGGCACAGGCAGACATGGCGCTAGACAGGTAGCCGAGAGTTTCACATCCAGACTGGCAGGCAGCAGCAAGAGACTGCCACATTGGGCTTGGTTGGAGCATCTAAGACCTCAAAGCCCACCCCCGGTGACACATTTCCTCCAACAAGGCCACAGCTCCTAAGAGAGCTGTTCCCTGTGAGCCTTTGGGGGCCATTTTCTTTCTTTCAAACCACCACAGGTCTGACCTCTAAAAATGCAAAAGGTGAGCCCCGAAGGTCAAGATGGAGAAGCAGTGACGTCAGCATTGCAAGACTTGAAGTCTGGCTTCTAGGTCAAGACAGACATCCCAGCAGCTCCCTTTGAATGAGAGCCCAAGAATTGACACTGTTTAAATAGTGGAAGCATCATTTCAGCTGAGACGCTTGCTGTCCCTGGTGACAGAAAATGGACTCAGACACGACTCAGGAAAGAATGGGGTTTATTAACTCACGTAACTGAGGAGTCCAGAGGTGATGATGGTCTTGGCAGTAACCAGGATAGGGAGAGATGCAGAAGGCTTGGGCGATGGCATCCCTCTCATTCCCTCCTTGCTCCTTTCCCACATTTCTTGGGTTTATTCTCATAATCCCAGTTGAAAATAGACTTTCTTTATATGATGAAATAATCAAAGATGGACAAAGATAGTCATACCCCAATAGGTGGGGGGTGGCACCCTCTGAATGTCTGTGTTTCACTCCTAAGGAAGAGCTACCTAGGCTTCCCTTAGATACTGTGCTCTCTGGTCACCTGAGAAGGGGAGCCATGCTTAGACCAGCTTGGGGACCACACATAAGCCTTAGATCAGGTCTTCTAGAGGTAGAAGTCGAACTAGAAAGTTCTGAAGGTCAAAACAGAGAAGATTTTACAAGGAAGTCTCACTGAGTTTTTCCTCTAGGAAAGGAACTTTGGGGTAAGAAGGCAGGAGCAAGGGGGAGGTAGTAGAAAGCATGGGTGTTTTGCTTTGCTTCAAGATAGGGTCTCATGAACCCCAGTTTGGCCTCAAATGTTCACAGGATCTGGGTGCTAAGATGAAGATGTGTCTTTTAGTGAGTTACCATCCAGCCCACAACAGAGGGGCAAATAGGGAGTGTGTTCTGGGTTGTTAGACAGGGCCAGCTCTTAGGGCCTCTAGAGTTAGGAAATCAGAATCATTCACGTGTACATTCCAGAAGAAATACACGATATCTTGTGGAAGTAGATAGTAAGGTGATAACAGGATATCTATGTTGCCGGAGATCACGGCTGGGGTCCAGAGCAGAAGGGAGGGAACTGGCTAAGGTCTCACCAGAGCAAGGGCTGAACAAGTGTGGTTAGCTCATAGGTCTACTCAGTCAACAGACCTGCGGTAGTGGGGCAGCAGGATAGCTGGCATGGGGGAGACATGGGAATTATAGATAGAAAGTACCATTCTGATCTGAATCCCCATACTGCTTTTCCCGAGAAGACAGCCCTGGGAGATGGGAAGAAGGTTGGAAAAATCTGGGTTCAAGTCCCAGGGCTTCCTTCCATTTCTCAGATCTCTTGGAAGAATTAAATGTCAATAGGACTAGGATATGGGTCTCTGACTTGGCACCTTGTGGGTGTCCAGATGTGCGTAGCTCCCCCTCCTTCCTCTTGCTTGGCCTGTCCCCTTTCCGGCTGGTACTTCCCCAGGGCTCAACTGTGCCCAGCACTTACTTCTCGTTCCCTCTCCACCTGCAGCCTTGGTCTCTTAGGACCTGTCCTCAGAGGGACCCTCTCCACTGACCTGGAACCTTCAGCAAACGTCTCCTTTTGGTGCCTCATCACTGGCATGACTGGCTGTAAAGGCAGCAAGCTGGGAGGCGGGAGTCAGAGCACCTAGACTTTGAGTACTTGCTTAGCTTGTCCCTGCAGTGGTGTCTTCATCCTCTCTTTTTCTTACATCTCTCACCCAGCAAAACATCCCAAGGCAGCTGACACTGTCTAGCTCTGGAAAAGGCAAGCGGAACTGTGGTTTCCTCTTGATATATTTCATTCATTCCTCTTTGTAGCCTGCTCTCCTTGGTAACACGTTCCCCTTCCACT